GAAATCCTGTAAGGGGTTGTTGTTGTGAGGTGCTGTCGAGTCTAGTACAACTCGTAGCCACCCTATGAACAACCGATTTGAACCCTGTGCTATTCTGTGTCATCATCATTATCTCTGATACACTTGAACCTATTACTACAGCACTAAGCCAATCCATTTCATCAAAGGTCTTCCTTTCTTTCACTGATGACCTTCCCCCTTTCCAAGCATGATGTTCCTCTCTAAGGAATAGCTTCTTTCAGAAACATGTCCAAAGTATGTGAGATGAAGCTTTGTCATCCTTGCCTCCAAGGAGTATTCTTGCTTAACTTCCTCCAAGACATATCTCTTTGGCTTTGTGTGTGTGATTTTGTTATTGTTGTTGTTGTTATTGTTTGAGTTATTTTAGGGTTGTTTGGTTTTTTTTTTCAATCCATGGAATTGATACCAGAGTCCAAGGCATCAATTATTCTTTTGTAACTTTTATTCATTGTCCAACTTTCAGATAGAAAAGAAGATGATTGAAAAGACCATGTCCTGAATAGGGAACACTTTAGTCTTCAAATTGACATTATTGTTCCTCAGTAATTTGGAGAAGTCCTTATCAGCAGGTGTTCCCAATACAATACATCATCTGACTGCTGGGCCTAAGGATATTGATTGTGGATCCTAGTATTTTGAAATAGTTGACAACTTCAATCTTTTCTCCCTATCATGATGTTGCTTATCAGTCCTGTGGTGAGGATTTTTATCTTCTTGATGTTCAGATGTGTAAAAAGAACCAGGGCCATGTGGAGACAGCCATACCTGACCATTATCAACTTCACAAAAGGGAGCTATCCCCATCCACAGTATCAATAACACCAAACCAATTCCCAAGAGATATACATTTTCCCATACTCCCATACATCTTTCTACTCATCTCAACATCAATCTTACAGCTTTGTTGGGTCCAAAATCTGATAAGATATGCCACACACCACACAGAACCATACTGGGGAAGTCAAAAGGTTGCCATCCAAATTAATGACAAAATAAAGTCAAGATAGCTCCCAAAAAGTATACCTAGTCACCTTAGCTTTGAGGTTTGTGGCTTTTTGTTCCCAAATTCTAAGTCCTGCTCATTTTGTCTTTCTGTGTCTAATTGTCCAACAAAGCTCTCAGTCCTGCCAATATTGGCTTTCCACCCTAAGTGTCCCACCTCACATAAGGTCTCTAGTTTGGCCATTGGCGTAGCTGGAGCAAGAAGGGTGACCTACATTGTCTTGGTTTCTCTTCAATGGTGCCAGAAGATCTGTGTCTCTCACTCTGTCTTGTTCAATTTAGTGACAAGACTAGCCAATCTTCTTGTAGAATGTTGAGACTAGCCAATCCCCTTGGGAAATGGTAGATAGTTGATTCCCTTGTGGATAGGCTAACACATTTCATTCTCATATTCTTGCCCATCTGCATCCCTTCTCCTTAATATAATAATTATTTCACCATAAAACAGTTACTTTTTTGGCTAGAAAAGACAATTTTTAATGATAAATCTTATATATCCAGAAGGTGAAATTCATATCGAAGGCTGTAATCGTCCTCATTTGCAACAAACAAGCTTGGGAAATCTATATAATAAAAGTTGTTTTTCATTCTTCCTTCAATTCTGATGCCACTTTCTACTTCATAGAGTTCAGATTCTCAAATAATTTGCTCAGCATATAGATTGAATAGGTATTGAGATAGGATAAAACCCTGATACACATTTTTCCTGAATTCAGATCATGCAGTGTTCCCTTGTTTTGTTCAGACAACAATTTCTTGGTGTAGGTACAGGTTTCACATGAGGATAAATAAGTGTTCTTGGATTCCTATTCTTCTCAATATTAGCTATAATTTGTTATGATCTACATAGTCAAATGGCTTTGCATAGTCAGTAAAATGCAAACAGACTTTCCTCTGGTTTATATTAAAATAAATTCAATGTTAATACTCAACAACTCAATTCATTGTTGTCAAGTCAGACACAACTCATAACTGAACTTATAACAGGTTTTTGGAAGTTATAAATTACATGGAAAGAGATTGCCCATATTTCTCCCATATAGTGACAGGTGGATTCTAGTCAGCCAATTTTAGGTTGCCAGCCTAATCCCCTATGAACCAAGGCTACATACAGTAATGAGTCAGGAATTTTCACAGAAGTTGATCATTAGGTCTTTTGTCAAACAGAGCAGCTGCTGAGTTTGAATCACCAGTATTTAGGTTAGCAACTTAGCATTTAACTACTGTATCACCAGGGCAGCTAATCTATAAAATTTCAAAATCTAGCTTGTCATTGTGTCAATTCTGACTTGTAGTGAGTCTACAGGACAAAGTAGAACTACCCCAAAGGATTTGAAGACTGTAATCTTTATAGAGGCAAATCATCCCATCTTTCTCCCACAAAAGGGCTTCAATCCTTTCAGTTAACAACCTAATAACCTAGTACTTAACCACTGTAATACTGGGGCTCTTTATATAAATACTTAAGATATGTTAAACAAACATGAGCTTTCTCTCACAATATAGTATATTCTGGAAGATTTTCCTTTAGTGTCTATGCTCTTGTTATATGCTACTGAGTCATCAGTTGTAATCAAGTTGAATATTAATCAACATCCCTATGAACAAAATACCTGAACCTTGCCCTATCCTGAACCAGTCTCATGATCTCTGTTATGTTCAAGCTCATTGTTTTGGTCACTTTACTATTTGAGTTTGTTGAAAGTATTACTCTCACTTTGTGGTCCTCTCCCTTTCCCAACATGCTATCTTTTTGCCAAAGTCTGGTCTCTCCTGACAATGAGCCCGAAGAGTGTGAAGCAGAGTTTAACTATCTATGTATGCCTTAAAGGAGCTCTCTGGTTGCACTCCCCCTAGGAAAGACTCATTTTATCTTTTCACAGTCTATATATCCAGTATTCTTCATTAACCCCATGATCTAAAGGCATCTATTCTTTGGTCTTTCTAATTCATTGTCCAACTTTCAGATACAAAGAAAGTCATTGAAAATACTATGGCTTTCGTCATGAATATCTTAGTCTTAAAATTGACATACCTATTTTTTAGCACCTTAAAGAGGTCCCTAAGACCAAGTTTCTCTAATGACACACATCTTAAATGCCACAGTCTTCTTCCATAATAACAGGCCTTTGAAAGCCCTATTAATAATGGCAGAACATTGTTGGATATAAAGCTAGAATATGAGCCTCTCAAGTTAGAAGGAACTCAAAATGCAACCGGAGAAGAGCTGCCTCGAAGAAGAGTCTACTAGCATGATACGGAGAAAAGCTTTCATCAAATTTAGGACCTTCATTTGCTGATATAGCAAAACATAAAAGGAGGAGAAACATCTATTAATTATTGCTACATGAATGCATGAAGCATGAATCTAGGATAATTGTAAATAAAAAAAAAGAGATTGGATGCTTAACAATTGATATCCTAGGCATTAGTGACTGAGAAGGACTATTATTGGCCACCTTGAATCAGACAATCATATGATCTACCATGTTAAGAATGAATAATGTCGCATTCATGGTCGAAAAGGGTATATGAAAATCTACCCTGAAGTGGAGCAGTGTGAGTGAATATCCTATCCATTTTGTATATAAGAAAGATCTATACATACAACTATTATTCATGTATAAACACCAACCACTAAAGCTAAAGATGAAGAAATTCAGAATTCCTCCCAACTTTTACAGTTTGAAATTAATAAAAAATGTGATCAAGAGGTATTAGCAAGAATTAGTGACTCAAATGCAAAACTTGGAAACAAAACAGAAAGAACTGCAGTTTAAAAAGAAGACATTAGTGGCAGAAATGAGGCTCCAGACTAAATTCTATAACCTATCCTTAAATTAACTTTATAAGAAATGAAGTGTAGAAAACATACATTCAGCTAAAATTAACACTTAAGGTTTGTGGATATAGTATTTCACAATGGATGTAAAGGCAAACTTTAGACCTGGATAGTCATTCAAATCTCAGCTATGTACTTATTAGAGATGTAATTTTGGCAAACCTCTTGCACTCTCTATGCTAGATTTTCTGACATAATGATGACAGTAGTAATGTCTAGCTCATTAGCTGGCTGTGAGTTGAATCTTTGATGGGAAGGACTGAGAACACTGACAAGTATTCAGTAAATATTATCTTCCATTCTTAAAAATTGTATTAAACACTTAATTCCCTACCTTCCTTCTGTAATACAGAGGAATAGAGAGAATAACAATAGACCATCATAAATATCCTAAGTGATTATCTGAATATGGAGAATGCAAGTATTTAAATAGATTATCGTCCACTATTTAGAGGTGACTAAAAGACAAGCTTTAAAGTAAGACTAAAAAGTAAAGCACAAAAGGTTGGTTTGTGAGATCTATATATAGTCAGGACCATGTAGTATTAAAACAATAATTAAAATAATTTGTATCGGAAAGGCAGAGAATCTTTTTACTAAATTTTTCTCATCAAGTCAAATGAAACTTTTAGAAGACTTTAAACTCAAGTCAATCGATCTAAGTAATAATTACAGATTTTATACACTATTATGAAAGCTGAATCTAGTAAGATTAGTAAAATTAATTTAACCAATATGTTTGAACCCAGGCTTTATAATTTATATCAGCTTATCAAGAGAGTTTCTAGATAGATTTCACGGCAGCCATAGTGATGCCAAATAAATCACTGAAACAGGGCAAAATCAGCACATTTTCTAATTACCCCTGCCCAAGCTGGAAAAAGCCTTGTAGACTGATTAATTTCACTGAAGTCTTCAACAGCTTAAAGAAGTCTAATTCGGATGTAATAAAATGTTTATGGGCATTGCTGATTTCACATACATTGACCACTTAGCCTGTCAAACACTTTAAACCCCTCTTTGAAGACCAAATTATTTTCTACCTGGAAATACACTTTAAAAAATCATAGCCAATAATCAAGGACTGCTGTTTTCATAGACTTTATGAAGTCAATTTGGACAACCTTCATCTTACCTTGGAGGGTAATTCATAGTCTTCTTTATGGAGACTGGGATCGTAGTCTGTAGCACAAAGACTCATTTTATTGGCAATGCTTCCTGGAGTTAGAACCAAAAGATAGAAAAAAATATGTTACTGATTTTCACTTTAGAGAATACATAACTTTACATTAAGTTTTTTATTAGGACCAAACATTTAACCCATTATGAGCTTATATATATATATATATTTTTTTTTCTGTGTTGCTCTGTAGTTGTTATGCATCGTTTAATCAGAATCAACTCAAAGCTAATCCTCCAGAGGGTTTTTAGAGGCAGTAATTGCAATAGAGGAGATTGGCTATTGTTCTTCCATGAAGCAGCTCCTGTATTCAAACCATGTGCTTTCAGTGATTAGCTACATTGCTAACCACTATGCCACCAGTTGTTATTGTGATGTTGTTAGGTGCCATTGAGTTGAGTATGACTCATAGCAACCCTATGAACAACATATCTGAACTCTGCCATTTCCAAGACATATCTGTTCTTTTGGCAGTTCATGGGATGTCCATGGGATGTTCAGTGTTTTTATCCAGTACCACAGCTCAAAGGCTTCAGTTCTTCTTCTGCAATCCCTATTCGTTGTCCAGTTCTTGGATATATAACAAGTGATTGGAAATACCCTGGTCTGAATTAAATGCATCTTAGTTATCAAACTGACATCATTACTCCTCAGTAATTTGAAAAGATCCCTAACCACAGACTTTCCCAGTGCAATATTCATTCCCTGACTACTGGTAACAAGGGTGGTAATTGTGGATCCAACTAACATGAAGTTTTTCACAATTTCAATCTTTTCTCCATCCATCAGGGCGTTGCTTATTGGTCCAGAGCTAAGAATCTTTGTTTTTTTGACCTTGAGATATAATCTATATTGAAGGCTACATTCCTTGAACTTCTGCTTCAAGTCTTTTTCACTTTAAGCAAGCAAGATTGTGTCATCTACATAACATAGCTTATTAATTAGTCTCCCTTTGGCTTGATGCCACACTTCTCTTCTTTGGGTCCAGCTACTCAAATACTTTGCTCAGCATACAGACTGAATAGATACAGAGAAAGAATAGAACTCTAATGCACTCTCTTTTAATGTTAAGCCATATAGAGGTTTGCACAACAGCCTCCTGGTCTAGATATAATATCTCACATGGGCAAAATTAAGTCCTGTGGGACTCCCATTCTCAATGTCACTCACATATTATTTGTGATAACCTACAGTCAAATGCCTTTGCATAGTCACTAAAGTAAAAATAACAAAAATTTGCTACCATTTATACCACCAGAGCTCCATATACATACATTGTTGTTGTGTACTGTCAAGTTGGAACCAACCCATAGCAGCTGACCCTCCAGCAGGTTTTCAGAGGCAGTAATCACATGGAAGGAGACTGTCCACCTTTCTCCCACAGTGCAGCTGGTGGCCTTGAATGGCCTGCCTTCGGGATTGCAATGCAGATCCTTGCCACTAGGCCATCAAAGGGTGTGTGCAATAAATCTGAAATTGCAGTGGCAACCCAATTCCTTAACACTAAACCACCAAAGTTTTCTGTATACATTATGTATACAAGTTTTTACTAAATTGTAAATGTACCACTTCTATCATTTGCATACTTTTTTGCACTTAGTATATTTCCTACTTTTTATTGAATATTCCTTAAAGAATGGTTTTCAATAATTGCATCATGTGGCTTTATTCAATCACTCTCCCTTAGAAACATATATTTATCATGTTGAAAAGGTTTTAAAAATCTTGGTTCTTATTGTGCCCATTTTCTTAACATGATTTATCAGGATAAGGAAATCTTACAGTAACATAACATTCTTGCCTTTGTAATGCAAAAGAAGTTATCAAAGTCACGCTCAAACAAGTAATTTATTTTAAAAATACTCAAGTATTCACACGCTTGCTTAAACACCTGTCCCTCTGTATCAATTTTTCCTATATAAATAATGCTTTATAGTAGATAAAAAGAATACCTCATTGTTATTTTCAGTTATAATCTGTAATTGCAACAGTTTATTTTTTAAGTTTGTCAGACATTATATATAAAACTGTAAATTATCTATACTTACTGCTCCTGAATTTTTTTTACTTTAAATATTTAACATTCAATTTTAATCTTTTTTTTTTCTGCTATGTTGTTTTTATTGTGTACCATCAAGTCAGAACTTACTCATAACTGACCTTAGTGTGGGTTTTCAGAGACAGTTAATTGCACAAGAGACTGCCCATCTTTCTCCTGTGGAGCAGCGGGGTGGATTAGAACTGTGTGGATTTGGGATAGTGCAGCTTCTTATCACTAGGCTACTAGATTAATTTTTTTTTCTGTTTGAAATATGGCTTGTTTATTTTTGGTGTGTGTGCTTAATGAATATAGTTTAATCTTATGTACTCATATGTATCTTCTAAATGTAGACCAAATTGCACACTGTACAGTCTAATAAAATGCATGCCAACAGTCTATAAATAAACAAAGTCCTTTCAGAGTTCATTCATGGGTCTTTTTTTCACACTTGCATTTCTACTGTCAAGTGAACTGTCAATACATGTAGGAGATCCCTAACTCACAGGTTCACACAAATAAACAGAATTGATCTTTTTTCTTTGTTTTCTGTTACTCCCCCCTATTTTGCCATTTTACAAGTTGCCCAGGTTCAAAACCTCTCTCTCTATCTTTCATGAATTTTCCTTCTGTTTTTATCCAAATTTCACCAGTTAATATCTTCTCTTACACTTATTTCTTTAAATTATAATAATTTATTTATAAAATTCAAATACATTGTTTTCCATACAGATTCTTCCAGTTTCCCTCACCCCTCCAACAAACTGTACAATTCCATGATTTGCACATCCTTTTATATACTTCTTAATGCCTTCTGTAGTCATTCCCTCCTCTCCTGTGCTACATCCTTGGCTTAAACATTCACTATTTCTCCCCTCTTTATAAACAAAGAGTAAGAGACAGAGACAGATTGACAGAAGATAAATGGAGATTTTTTTAAAATGGAAATTGAGTAACACCATGCACATTTATCCACAACTAACTTAGATATGTAGTAAGAAATTGTGGTAATTTGTTTAAACTACAGCAGATGTATAATTTTCTGAATATAATAACTTTTTCTTTTAAACTCCTGTATTTTTCTTCATCTATACTCTGTAAATGAGGAATTGGTAGTTTAGAAGTTAATTTTCACCTTCCATAGGTTCATTTCATATTCAATGCACCCCATGTGTAGCTACCACTTATTTGTCATTGGGGGCCTAACAAAATGTCCAGACTAAGATAAACTAAGAAGAAAGGACTAGTGAACTATCTCCAAAAATCAAGACATGAAAATCCTGTGGACCACAAGAGTCTTATCCAATTGTTTGTGGGGAGATGGGACTGAGACATCACTGGGGTTTTAAGTCCCCTCATCTAGGGACCCTTGCCTCCACAGCAGAGTCCATCCCAGGGATCAAATAGAGAAAAAAATTTTCTTAGCTCTCTGTAACAGAAGCTGACTTGAGAGCCTCTGCACAAAAGCTGCCTAAGCTGGCTGTCCTGATCTCCTGCCACACCAGAGACAAAGGAGGATCCTAAGCTGCAGAAGAAAAGGTGAGGGAGGTAAGGCTCTGTGCCAAGAGCCAGTGTTCTCCACTGCTTGTGGGGGAAAGAGACTGAGGCATCCCTGGGAATATAGATCCCACTATCTGGGGACTTTTGCCTCCTTGGCTACAGTGCTATCCCAGGGGCCAAACAGGAAAAGAGACTTTGATAAACTGAACTTCAAGCAGAGGTAAGAATTTTCTTAGCTCTCTGCAAAAGAAAGCTAACTTGAGAGCTTCTGCACAAAAGCTGCTTGGGAGGAGGGACTGCACAGCAATGGAAGAGTTTTTCTTTTACTCATCAAGGAGGAAAGTGAATTGAGGGGGAGGGGTGGGCAGGAAGAAAAGTGCAACAATGAATGACTGGAAATCCTAAATCTCTGTAAACCTTCATTAAAATTAATTTAAAAAAAAGAAGAAGAAAAAAGCTGCTTGAGCTGGCAGGCCTCATCTCCTGCCACAACAGAGATAAAGGACGACATTAAACTGCAGGAGAAAAGGTGAGAGAGGTGAGGCTTGGGACCAAGAGTGAGCACTCTCCATTCCTTGTAAGGAGCCCTGCTCTCTAATCTTGAGCCACTCTAGAGAAAAAGAAAGAAATTAAGCCCCAGGAGAAAATGTGCATGGAAAATTGCTTGAAAAGAGCACATGATCTCACACCACTCAGCCATTTCATACATTAAGGAGGCCTATAGAGTTGGTGTCAAGGGACCACATTAAGGCAAGAATCTTATCGGACTATAGTACCGAACAGAGAGAACCTCAAGGACTTCAGTAAGTCAATTTTTCCCAGGAAGGACTTACAGCAGAGTGAGTAGCTCAGCTCCACTGACTAAACAGTTTAACTTGGAAACTGATTAGCAACCTTATAAAGAACAGAACCACCAACACAAAAGAAACAATCTAGCACTTAGGTGAAAAAACTTCAACTAATGTTAAGAAGGCAGCAGACAGCTTCAAACACTATAAGAAAAACTCCACCCTCCCAAAAAAACCCACAAAAACCCAAAATCCACCACAAATTAAGCCTTCTCAAAAAAAGAAAAAGAGAATATAGTAGAGACCTCATGAATACCCGAGTCAAGAAGACAGATGATATATATTGATATGGAGACATTTGAACAGTTATGAATGATAGTACAAATGATGAAAGAAACAATGGAAGCCACAAATAAAGTAAATAACTTAGAGGTAGAGAAACAGATAAAGGCATATCAATGAAGAATTGCTTGAACGCTACAGAAGAAGGTGCAAATGATGAAAGAAACAATGGAAACCACTAAGAAAGCAAATTATCCAGAGATAGGGAGGCAGAATAAATATCCTGATGAGGACGAACTTGCACAAATACAGAAGAAAAGGCAAAAAATGGAAGAAAGAATTAAAACTATACATAAAGTGGAACAAGAACTTTAAAAAAGTATCACAAAATAGAGAAAGCCTTGCCAACATAGTACTAGAAATAGCAGAA